CCATCCCCATGAAAACAGCAACAACAACAACAACAAAAAAAAAAGCCAAACCAAATAATAGCAGCCAAAATATTTAAAAGTGCATAATTCACAAAATAAATAAATAAAGGACACAAGACAAAACAAACCAAAAATACACAACTGAATAAAATTCATCCCGCCCCTTCTCACTTTTCCTTCTCTTTGGTTCCGCTCCAATATGTACGTATTTACATATATACAGAGAATAAAGGATTCATTACAGGGAAAAAGGCCGCGCACGTGGAAAAACAAAAAATATGGACGGTGAAAACACAAACAAACAAACAAACAAAAAACAAAAAAAAAATCCAAAGAAAATAAATAAACAGCATCCGTCAAGAAAAAAAAAAAAAAAAAAAAAAAAAAAAAAAAAGATGGCCTATAAACAAATATACATATATTGCTTTTTTCTCTTTTTTTAAAATTTTTCCTCTTCGTCATGGCTTAAAAACATCATCTCTCTCCATCGCCGCCATATTCAGTGGGCGTTGTTGTGGGAATAACTCGGCGTCTAGCTGTAAAAGCTGATTAAAAAAGCCCTGATTTGGGTAAATGGCAGGACGCCCCTCTTTGGTCTTAAAATACGCCTCATCAAGACGCATACCTCTTTTCATCATAAGATAGGCAATGACGGTTGTCGCCGAGCGCGACATACCAGCGAAGCAATGTACAAGACATCCCCTTCCTTTTTTTACGCTTTTTTCAATAAAGTCAACCGATTCCTGAAAGGTAAGTCTGATATCTGCGCCCTCAATGTCATCAATACTGAGCGTCAAATGCTCACCGCCAATTGGCGGTGTTGGGACAAGTTCCCGGCCCACGGTTAAAAGACTTTTAATGGAAAGTTTATCGTACACCAGCTGAGACTGTGCACTCCGCAGGCTACCGCAGTACACATGCTCAACAATGCGATCAGGGTAAATTTTGTTCCACATGATGCTAACATTGGGCAATTTTTCTTCCAATTTCTCTGAAATATACGTTCGGTATACATTCGGCTCATTATCAAGTGCTAGCTTTAGTTTGGGAAACTTCTCAAGGACTTCTTGCTCTGGAAATTCGGTAATGCGTGGATTCTCCGCCAAGTAAATGACAGATAACATTGCCATCGACGGGGCGGTAGTCACAATTTCCAAAACGCTCTCCGGAATACCGGCAAAGTTATTGTAGTCCATGGAAAGAGTAGCCAGGTTGTACAGATACATAAAAGACTGCGGGAGCTGTTGAAGCTGATTATGACTTACATCCAGTCGCTCCAGTTGGCTCAAGTTACCCAAACTATCTGGGAGTTCCGATAGCTCGTTGCTTGCAATCACCAAACTACGAAGTTTGTGCAAAAACGATAACTCATGCGGTATGCTCTTTAATTTATTGTAGCTAAGATCCAAACTTACCACGTGAAGTAGCGGCGGGTCAAACACTTCCCTCGGTACAGAGGTCAGATCAAAACGATACAACAACAGTTCTGGGCTACCATTTTCACGGCATTTGTTTATCTCCTCCTCCCACGACAAATCATCGATCTCACAGGCTTTGGGAAGCTTCTTTTTACTTTTATTTTTTCTACACTGCACTTTAAAATGACTCAATGACATTCCTTTAGGTGACGAAAGGCTATTTGTGATATCCACAATAGATCCAGCCGGCAAGTTGGCCTGCATCTCTACCTCTTCCAAGACATGTGCATTGTGAATACTGCTTGGTGGAAGAAGCATGGCCTCCTGGTTTCCATCCCCTTTATGTTCAATGGTGTGAATAAGATACGGCTTCATCTCATGACCTTTTTCATGGTCGTCATTCAGGGCGCATTTACCACATCGAATGTACGAAGGACATACGGAACATCGAAATACCACAATTGACAAATCCACATGACAGAGTCCACAGACAATTTTATCTTTAAAATGCAATAGCACAGAAGAATCCAAATCTTTGAGGTCAACCACACTGGCTCGACTTTCCTCATGGACAATGGAATCCACAAAGTTCGAATTACCAAGAAATTCGGTATCAATTATGGGATCTTGACCCACCACGTCCATAAGTCGGCGCTCCTCACGAAAACTAAAATCCAGAGATACCGCACCTTTTATAGAAGCAGATGACAGCTGCAAAGGTTTGACACCAAGAAGTTGGGAATCATCAAACGCATCCGCCAAATACGGGTGAGACAACAGCTCCTTTGCAGACATCTTGGTCGTGATCGCCTGAGAAATAAAACCAAAAACTGGTTGAGTAAGAAGATCTAAAAATTCTTTAACCTTCTTAATGACATTTTGCGCAATAGTACCGCCCTCATTTCCACTATAAAAGGATTGCCAGACTTGTTTATACACCACTGGTATCACTGAGGCCGCAAGTAATCCGACACAAAAAGTGTCCACGGCATGTTTTGTCTTATGTAAAGGTTTCTTAAGATCTTCAATAACCCATGGAGGAAATGAGTACCAAAAATTCCCCGTATCATCATTTGTTAATGCCTCGTCCCTGGTTAAAAACAGGGGGCCAAAGTCTGCCAACACAAAACCAACGCCTCTTTGATAGAATATATTAGACGGCGTTAGACATAAGTGTGAGACACCGTTTGTGTGAAGAAAATGTAACCCTTTGAGAACATCCACAAGCATCCCCTTTAAAGTGAAACAAGGATCCTCACTATTTGTAAGCGGAGGGAAGTTCATGCTAAGAAATTCCCCTTCCGCATAGGGTTGCGTCGCAAAACAGCCATCTTTGTTCTCCACAATCTCCATAAGATGCAATATATTGGGGTGACGGGCCACACGGCAGAAGGCCAAGTCATGAAGAATGTTGCCTGCATAGGACAAATTCTCCAACTTCTTCATTACCGATCGCCTCATGACCTTCAAAACAATCTTTGTCATGTTACGAGCCGAGTTTACAAGAAACGTCTCACAGTTTCGCCCCCTGACAAAAACGTCACTTATTGGCAAGCCACCTCGCTTCTGAGACCGCGAAAATCGCGCCCCGATGGTACTGAGACTAGCAATGGAGCCAACTTTTCCGCCATAATGAGAATTTGCGGCAGCGGGGGGAGAAATTGTGCTCCCACTAATGCTGTGTCTTACATTCTCCCCGAAAAGAGGGTGACGCAGCACTTCGATGATGGAAGGCCGATTATTGGGGTCGCGATCTAGACACCACAGTACAACATCTTGGAAACTAGCATCCGAAACCCAATCCGCTTCCGGAAACTCTATTTTCCCATGCAACACAGAATCCCGTATCGTTCCAAAAGGTTTGCCTTCAACATCCAACGGTTTTCGGCCGTAGGCGAGGCGATACATTAAAAGTCCAAAGCCCCATACATCCGCCTTAAAATGATTTATTGCAGAAACATCTTCGGTTTGAAAAACCTCGGGCGGCATACAAGCCAACTCACCATTGAAAACAAGGCCTTCAGAACTTTGTGAGGCAAAAATATGTCCAAATCCAGCGTCCGCAATACAAGCCGTGCCACTGTTTTTGATGAGAATGTTGTCCAGTTTGAGATTGTGGTGGTAGATTCGATGAGAGTGCAGGACACGAAGGCCGACGGCAACATCATGCAGCAGGGAGAGTAATCGTTCCTTCGTCTCCAGTTTGCCTAAGAGAGCCTCACAACTGCCGTTTTCAATATACGGAGAGACAAAAACAAAGTTCTCATGCTGTCCATCATCCAGTACATCCACGCAGCGTAGGACGTTATCGTGAATCAAGTTCGTCAGCACTTTATGGTCATCCAAGACACGCTCGGCCAACTTCATGCGGGTGACAAACGTGACCACCTTAAAAACGTTTTCTGGAGACTGTGAGGTGAGACTGCTGTTAAGTTGATAGCTCACAGTGTTTTCGGACCCCACATTTTTCCCTGTTTTTCCCATCGTTCCGCCTCGTCCCCTTCCTCTTTCCTCCGGTGGTGCTTTGACAAGAAAACTTCGACCCACCGTTCCTGTTGGCAAGGAACTCAGGACAGAGTATTTTCCCACAACCTCCCCCGGAGCAAATTCTCCTGTGCACATGACAGCTGCTCGATTAGAAAATAACAAGTCCGGATGAGCCAAAAAAAGTGACGCATATGGACCCTGACAAAGCTCCTCCATAAAATCCTCCAGAAATGTTTGTGATTGAGAGCTCACAAGCCCCAATTTTTCTGTCAGCAATGTAGGCAACAGCCCAGTTGCACTACCATTATCGCCGCCATTCTGCAATTCGTAATGCCTCTCCATCAATTTTGACTTCCTCTGCTTCGCGCCCCACACTGCGTGGATTCTTCCAGGGGCAATACATGCGCCCATTCTTCTTCCTTCCCTCGGTCGCCTGTCTTACTGTGTGTGGAATTCGTCCCCGCTTATTTCCTTGCCAACTTTTACTCCGTCGCCAAATAAGATCCTCCTCTGCCCTTTGTTTATATCCCCCCTACCGCTCTCAACGGCACCTTACTGCCCGTTCGGCCGCCTCCTTCTCTCTCTCTCTCTCTCTCTCTTTCTCGTTCTCCTTTCCCCCCTGTTGGTACACACTCGCCGCACTCCTACGCGTCCATATCAACAAGCGAAAGGACGTGCAAAAGGAAGAAAAAAAAAAAAAAAAAAAAAAGAAAGGCACAGAATATCACGGCGGTTCTAGAAATAAATGCAAATCGTGGGAGTCCATGAAAAAAAAGAGATGCGCAAACGCAAGTTCAAAAAAAAAAAAAAAAAACATCCCTCCTACCCACGCCGACAGAATACCGGACTCCGTTAAGTCATCACTGCAGCACTTTTTTCCCGAGCTGCAAATCTCCCGACAGCACCCTCTGCAGTACTTCATTTGCACCTTCCACTGTCTCTATCCCGTCAAGAAGCCTGTAGCGGATCGTGTCACGCTTCGCTGCCCGTAACAATAACATCTGATGAGCGGCACCACCCTCAACACTGTTGGCCACCTCTTCCAGACCAAGATCATTCCGAAGGGCAGAAAGAATGACATCACGCTCGGCATCTGCCTCGAAGAATAAAAGGGGTTCATTGCGAAACATCTCGTGAACACGCTCAAGAGTAAACGCGGACGTAAACGACAACACACACAGCGGTGCCCGTTCATGTACGCGCAGTGTCGCCGGTAAGCAGAAGTCCGCCAACAACTG